GGCTTTAAACTGAAGCCCGAACCCGACCCGTACCCGAGATCATCTGGCCCGGCCCGACCCGAGCGGGCGGCACAGTTAAATTTAGAGCCCGAACCCGACCCGAAATCTTTTTTTTTTTTTCTACAACGAATAGCCAATTAAAAAAAAAAGTTGTATTTCACGACCGCATACGGTCAGTAAACAAATACATGAAAAGAAACAGAATCATTAAGCCTCGGCCAGTTCACAAGGCAAAAGAAAAAACACCAGTTATGAAAGTTTATGAACATCAGGTGCAGCGGTCACATCAATTCTGTCGAGAGAATGGACGTATACGACAAGACGATAATTCTTCCATCGTGCAAATTATGGTCATTTTCGTCAGTTGAGGCTCGTTAGCATTCGGCCTGCTTTAAATCAGACACAGAGATGCAGTGCGGGAAGATCGCATTTATTTGAATGAATTAATTATATAATTTATTTGAATTAGCGAGAGAGAGAGAGGGATGAAAGTTGCGTGTGTGAACTTGCGTCTGCGCGCCTCTCTCTACAAGCAATGAGGTTTAGTTACTTAAAAAACAGCGATTTTACCCCCTCATTGCAGAAAAATATAACGTTGCCAGTCAGTAGCCTGTCGAAGCTATTTTACTAATAAAAGTTTCCGTGCTGTGTTGTCGTTGTTGTGTGTGTGTGCATCTATGAAAGCAGCGTCGCCAAGGCTACTGCATATAGTTTTAGTTTAGCTATAAGCCCGACCCGAACCCGAAGCTGTTCATTAAACATTAACCTGACCCGAAACCCCAAAGTATTTCGGGACCCGTTGGGCTCTGGTCGGGTAGCAGACCTCTAATGGGTATCTAAAGAATAATGACAAAATTTTAGGTGAACTATTTCTTTAAAAAGAAAGCAACCCAGCGGGCACTAAGACCCTTCCTTTCAAGAACTACAAGACAAGCACAGTGTACACGACGGTACGACGTCTTCCTGTCCCACAGTGCAGCTGAACTCTGGAGCCCCGCCGGACACGGACTGCGTTTAAAGTAAGAGCGCAGGGCTATAGATCCAACCCCCGAAACACTGACTTACTGCGAAATATCCGTCTGCACCATAGACTGCATAAAAACAGGTCTGCACCGCGACATTGCACACCAATAGCATATCACCCAGGACTGCACAGTGAATTAACGCTAAGAACGAGTATACCATGATTAAAGAGTAAAGACGTATGTGTTTTATATAATTGAGTGTGATAACAAAAATGAGAATGGTAAATTATTTTGAAAACTGTCTTCGCGTCTTGCATGCTAATTGCTCTTCAGACAATAATGTTCAGAGTCCATTTTAATAATTACTCATTAACCATCTATACAGTTCATGACTATTGTCAAAGTT